GCTCTCTTTCTAATTCTTTAAGTTGCAAGGTTAGATAATTTATTACCATTTTTTTCTTGTTTTTTTGAGGTAGGCCTGTAGGGCTATGAACTTCCCTCTCAGGACTGCTTTCAATGTGTCCCATAGATTTTGGATTGTTGTGTTTTCACTGTCATTTGTTTCCAGGATGCCTTTTATTTCTTCTTTGATCTATTTGGTACCCCAATCATTGTTTAATTGAATGCTATTTAGCCTCCAAGTGTTTGATTTTTTTTATTGTTTTTATTGTAGTTGACTTCTAGTTATATGCCATTGTGATATGAGAAGATGCTTATTATGATTTCTATCTTCTTGAATTTAAGAGACTTTTCCTGTGTCCTATTATGTGGTCTATCTTTGAAAATGTCCAGTGTGCACTTGAGAAGAATGTATATTCTGTAGCTTCGGGGTGAAATGTTCTGAAGATGTTAATTAAGTCCTTCTGATCTAGTGAGTTGTTTAGGATGGCTGTTTCTTTGGTGATTTTTTAGTTTAGAGGATTTATCCAGTTATGTCAATGGGATATTAAAGTCCCCTACTATGATTGTATTGCTGTTGATCTCTCCCTTGATATCTTACAAAGTTGTTTTATGTGTTTGATCCTGTATTGGGTGGCTATATGTTTAGCAGAATTATATCCTCTTGTTGAATTGCTCCCTTCAGTATTATGAAGTGGCCCTCCTCATCTCTTGTTATGGCCTTTACTTTAAGGTCTATTTTGTCAGATATAAGTATTGCTACCCCAGCTTTTTTCTCATTTCCATTTGCCTGAAAATTTTTTTCCCATCACTTCCCTATCAGTCTGTGTGAATCCTTTGTTCTGAGGTGGGTCTCTTGCAGACAGCGAATATATGGGTCATGTTTTCTTATCCATTTAGCTACCCTATGTTTTTTGATTGGAGCATTTAATCCATTTACATTTAATGTTATTATTGATAAGTTCTTATTTGTAGCCATTTTTATTCTTTATGCTTGTGTTCCTTCTTGCCTTTATATTTCTTTTTTTACAGCAGTCCCTTTAGCATTTCTTGTATTGCTGGCTTGGTGGTAATAAACTCTCTTAGCCCTTTATTTTCTGTGAAGCTCCTGATTCCACCTTCAAGTTTGAATGATAGCCTTGCTGGGTATAGTATTCTTGGATTCAGTCCCTTGCTTTGCATCATTTTGTATATTTAATTTCATTCCCTTCTTTCCTCGTGTGTTTCTGTTGAGAAATTAGTTGATATTCTCATGGGAGATCCCTTGCAGGTAGCTTTCTGTCTCTCTCTGGCAGCCTTTAAGTTTCTTTCTCATTGATGTTTGCCAATTTAATTATGATGTGTCTTGACGGTTTTTTTGGGTTCATCTTGTTTGGAACTCTATTTGCTTTTTGGGGTTGTGTGGTTTTTTTTTTTTCTTGCCAACATCAGGGAAGTTTTTTGTCATTATTTTTTCTTACAGGTTTTCTATTTTTTCCTCTGTTTCCTCTCCTTCTGTTACCCCTATTATGTGAATGTTGTTTCATTTTGTGTTTTCCCAAAGCTCCCTTAGGCTCTTCTCCTGCTTTTTAAGTTTTCTTTGCAGTTGCTGTTGTTTTTGTGTGTTTTGCCCTACCTTGTCTTCTAATTCACTAATGTGGTCCTCAGCCTCTTTTAGTCTACTGTATAAGACTTTCATTTTGTTCTTTATTGCAACTAGGTCATTTTTCATTTCCTCTTGTGTCCTTTTCATATTGGTGACATTCTCATTCAGCTCCTTATAATTCTTATTGAGTTGTATTTGTCATCCAACCATTAGAGCATCCTTATAACCATTACTCTGAATTCTTTCTCTGACATGTTACTTGCCTCCATTTCATTTAAATCCCGTTCTGGTGATTCCTATTTTTCTTTCCTTTTGGGATTTTTTTGTCTCCCCATTTTTTTGCTGTAACGTTTTAATTGTTACTATGTCTTAGATCCAACTACTTTGCTACCCAGGTTCTTTTGAGGGTGTTGCTATGTAGTTGGTGATTTTTGGGACTCAGTGGTGCAGTCTCTCATGTCTCCTGGGTATGGTGATCTAGCGGAGCCCCCTACTTGAGTTATTTGGGTTCTCTTGATGTATTTGGGTTTTGAATGTTAGTTTGTTATTCGTGGATGAAGTCTCTTCATGGATTGGCAATGTGATTCACTCCTGGCTTCATTGTGTCTGCTGTTTTGGATGTGATTGTGGTTCTGGCTCTTGTGGAAATGGTTGCCTTATGTCTCACTGGTATGTGCTCACTTTGTGTTTCCAGAGTTCATGGCCTGGGAGGAAGGAGTCTCGGGGCCTGAGACTCAGGTACTGTGACCTTTGGCTGGTGTTGTGTGATTCTTGCTGGATTAGCATCATTCTGAAACTCACTATGAGGGTCCCAGAGCCCGTGACAGTGGTACTCTGGCCAAATGATTTCCCTCTCTGAATCATGAGGGGGCTCAGGAGCCAGCAGCTGTGGATGTGGGAATCTCGGAGTCTGTGGCTGAAACAATGTGGTCTTGTCCAGGGAAGCGAGCCCTCAGTAACTCACCAAGGTGTCCAGAGGTAGGCAGTTGGGACGGGATGTTGTGGATCCTACTGAGGGAGCTGTGCACCCTTGGTTGGAGAGACACACACCCAGTGGCAGCTCACTGAGGGGACCAGGAGTCGTCTGCCAGGGGTGTGTGCTTATGGTGCCCACATGCTGGATTGGAGTGATTGTAGTGTGCCACCGGCCTTGTGGAGGGAGAAATCCCAGTTCCTGCTTCGGGAGGTATGCTCCTTGGTTGGATACTCATGACCAGTGGCTGCTTACTGAGGCTCCCAAGAGCTGTCTGCTTGGGCAGTGGGCTCAGGGGGCCCATGTGCTGGATTGGCACTACTGCATGGACTGGATGCTGGCATCCAGGGTTTGTGCCTTTCGGTGGCTCAGAGAGGCATCTGGGGGCTGCCTGCTGGGGCTGTGGGCTCAGGATGCTTGCGCACTGGATCAGTGCGACTGCAGTGACCGGAGGTTGGAAGTTGAGGAGGGGGAAGTCTGAGTTTCTGCTGCCTGGGCCTTGTGCCCTTGGTTGAGTATGAGTGTGCCTAGTGGCGGCTCACAGAGGCACCCAGGAGTCGCCTGCTGGGGCGGCGGACTCAGGGGGCCCATGTGCTAAAACCACGCAACCGTGGTGTCTGCGGGCAGACAGCCATGAAGGGGGAAGTCTGAATTTCTACTGCTGGGGCCATGCACTCTTGTTTGGATATGAGCGCTCTCATCTGGGGCTCAAGGAGGCACCCAGGAGCCACCTGTAGGCCTGCATGCTGGAGAGGTGCAACTGTGTTGTATAGAGGTCAGCAGCTGGGGAGGGAGATGTCTCAATTTTTGGTGCCTTGCGGCCTTGGTTGGATTCACGCGTGCCCAACGGAGCCTCACAGAGGCACCCGGGAGCTGCCTGTCAGGGTGGTGGGGCTCAGGAGGCCTGTGTGCTAGAAAGGCATGACTGTGGTGTCCGGCGGTTGGCAGCTGTAGATGGGGAAGACTCAGTTTTTGCTGCTGGGGCCTTGCACCCTTGGTTGGATTCGCACGCGCCCAGCAGCGGCTCACAGAGTCACCCGGGGCCATTTGCCAGGGTGGTACACGCAGAGGGGCCCTCATGCTGAAACCATGTGACCTTGGTGTCTGTGGGAAGGCCACCAGGAAGTGGAAAGTCCGAATTTCTACTGACAGGGCCCTTTGTCCTTATTTGGATACGAGCGTACCCAGTGGGGGCTTACAGTGGCACCCAAGAGCCATCTTTGGGGCCGTGGGCTCAGGAGGCCTGTGCGCTGGAAAGGCGTGACTGTGGTGTCTGGCGGTTGGCAGCTGTGGATGGGGAAGACTCAGTTTTTGCTGTCGGGGGCTTTGCGCCCTTGGTTGGATTTGCGCATGCCCAGCGTTGGCCTACAGAGGCCCCCGGGGGCCGTTTGCCAGGGCGGTGCTTGCAGAGGGGCCCTCATGCTGAAGCCATGTGACGTTGGTATCTGTGGGCAGGCAGCCGGGAAGGGGGAAGTCTGAATTTCTACTGCTGGGGCCTTGCTTCTTTGTTTGGATATGAGCATGCCCACCATGCTCACAGAGGCACCCTAGAGTGGCCTGTGGGGTGGTTGGCTCAGGAGGCCTGCGTGCTGGGAAGGTGCAACTGAGGTGTCCTGAGGTCCCCATCCAGGAAGGGGGAAGTTGCACTTATTGCTGAGGGACCCGTGCACCCTTGGAGGTGAAAGTCCTAGGGTCTGCAGGTCTGCGGGTGGGGCAGCAGGATTTTGGCTGGAGTGGCTGCAGGGTCACAGGCAGTGTCCAAGGTCAGTCTGGGTGGTGGTGCTGATGGGTTCCTAGAAGTGGCCGCTCTCTTGGCGTGGGCTCTGTGCCCGAGCCCTGTAGCCTGGGGAGTGCCCCCAGCGGTAGTAGGTGTTCCCTGTCCAGGAGAGCCTGGTCTGCCAGCTTCTGATATTCCTGCTGGATTTAACTGTCCCTCACTCACTCACACACACACCACACACATCCACACACTCTCCTTTCATCCCCTCACTCACTCACACCCTCTCCTTCACCCCTGTCCTGCCAGGTGCCATCTTCCCCTCCCCCGCCAGGTATTTCTTCACTTACCATTTTTAAAAGCAACTGAACCGATATTTCATGTTTTGGGTAGATCTGTTTTACTTAACTATTCTTATCTTTATGAGGACATTTAGGTTATTTACAGTTGTTTTTTTTCACTGTTTTAAGCAGGGAGGTAGAGAACACCACTTTGTTTTCTTAGCTTCTGATGCTCTGAAAGCAGTTTTAAAGGAAAGTTTAGTGTCCTGGTGGGTGCCTTCGGACATTGCTGTTGCTTTTCTGTTTACTGTTGGTTGGCAGCAGAATGAGATGCCTTACTTATGTAAAGGAGAGGAAGGACTCTTATTACCTGCTTTTTTTGAGATTGATGCTGGAGGAAAAACTGAGAACAATAGTGTTTGACTAAATCTTCCTTTTTCTTTTTTAGTTCTCAAAGTCATGAATCCTGTTTATAGTCCTAGTTCTTCTGGGGTTCCCTATACAAATGCCAAAGGAATTGGTTATCCAGGTAAGCAAGTACAATTTTGTTTTCATTATTATTATTATTATTATTATTATTTATTGTTTAAAGCAGCGGCCACCAACCTTTCGGATCTCATGGACCACTGGTTGGTGACCACTGGTTTAAAGTATTACATATAATATTACATATGTCTTCTTTTTCCCCCATTTCCATTGATTTTTTTAGAGAGAATGTGAGAGGGAGAGACAGAGAGAGAGAAACATCAATGTGAGAGAGACACATCGATTGGTTGCCTCCTGCATGCGCCCTGACCTGGGCTGAGACCACACCTGCAAGCGAGGCATGTGCTTTGACCAGAATCAAACCACGACCCATTAGTCTGCAGGCCAATGCTCTAACCACTGAGTGAACTGGCTAGGATGCAATTTTAAATGGGATTATTTTTTTAATTTATCTTTCTGAGAATTCATTATTGGTGTATAAAAATGCCAATGATGTCTGGGTGTTGATTTTGTATCCTGCTACTTTACCAAAATCACTTCTTAAATCTGGTAGTTTTTTTTGGCGGAGTCTTTAGGGTTTTCTAGGTACAATATCATGTCACCTGCGAATAATGACAGTTTTATATCCTCCTTTCCCATTTGGATGCCTTTTATTTCTTCTTCTTGTCTGATCACTGTGGCTAGGACTTCCAGTACAATGTCGAACAGGACAACTCTGTCCTGTTCCTGTTCTTAGGGGAAATGCTTTTAGTTTTTGCCCATTGAGTATGATGTTGGCTGTAGGTTTGTCATAAATGGCCTTGATCATGTTGAGATATACTCCCTCTATTCCCTCTTTACTGAGAGTTTTTATCAAAAAGGGAGCTCGGTTTTGTCAAATGCTTTTTCTGCATCTATTGATATGATCATGTGATTTTTTTTGTCTTTCGTTCTT